AGGAGCACAGAGCAGGTGTTGGACAGCTCACCCTGAACACTCTCCTGGCCTAAAGAATCGCTCATCATCCTTCCCAAAGTGCCTTTAGACTGTAAGCACCTGTTTTGACAAATTTAAGGCAGGTTAACAGACCAGTATGACTTCTGGAAAAAATTTATTCGGAAATAAGACTGTCTCTGGGAGGCTCAGTCTGATATGGAAAGAAATTCTGAGATCACTTGAACACCAATAGCATCACTGGAAAATAGGCAGCCTCTTCAAACATTCTGAAAAGGAACCCACCAGACGTATAGGCTCTAACAGATTGAGTACAAAGATGCCCCTTGCCAGCCTTACTATCTGATTCATTACGAAATCTACAATGCGAGCCATGTTACACACCCATCTCACAACTTTTACCCTTTAGCCAAAAAAGAACATTAGCTTGCATACTTAGTAGAATGTACTTGTTACTACACACTGAAGTCCCCAAAGTGCCATATACTATAGCCTGACTCCTGTGCTTCATGGGGTGTTGCTTTAACACAGTACTTTACAACAATAAGAGTAATCACCCACAGCTTACGCCATACTAGGTAGTGTTTAAGTACTTGACATACAACCCTAGGAGGCAGGTACCATACGGCACCTGACACTGACATAGTTAAGTTATACAACTTGCCTATAACTAAGAGGGGAGCTGGGATCTGAATCAAGGCAGTGTAACATGAGTTTGTCCATTCTTTTCTTTTATTAAACAACTAGCATTAAAGAACAAACAATTAAATAACTTTTTTTTTTTTCCTGATACTAGGGATTGAATCTAGAGGTACTTTGCCACTGAGCTACATCCCCAGCTCTTTTTTAAAAATTTGAGACAGGGTCTCACTAAGTTGTAAAGGCTGGCGATCCTCCTGCCTTAGCCTCCCAAGTCATTGGGATTACAGGTGTGCACCACTGTACTGGGCTATATTCATTTAATAATACTGTACTAAGCAGGGGACTGAAGGTTAATGGAAACATACAATTTATGACATTTTAAGATATCTCAACATGAAAAAGACTACACCATACCACGATTTCAAACTCATGATGAAAACTGCCAATGACACTATTGGATTATCACCAGAAATATTTATAAGCCATTATAATCACAGGGAAGAATACAAGTGAAAACTAGCCCAGAGATTCCTGTTGTTTCTTTTAACACTTGTAATGGATTTCCACATAATTGTGAACTAGAAACTGGGGATAAAAAATACAAACAAAATATAGGGCTCAGTTTACCATCAGGGAAGATGAATCGTCAGAGGTACTCCATAAGTGTGCGTAAGGGCCAGCAGAGGTACAAACAAGACACAATTTGACTATGATTTAGAGGTGAAAGCTACACTGTGTTTTCCAGGTACAATACACTGATTTTTTTTTTTTTAATATTCCACTGTGCCTCAGGGAAATCAATAACTGAAGAAAAAGAAACTAGAAAGAAGCCTCAAGCTGGAACCACAGATCTAGTGCTACTTGGTTGTACCACCCAAGCAGACACCCTACTTTCATCTTAATGCAGATATCTTTCAGCCCTTCACAGCTTAAAACCCAATCAACTTTTTAGACCTCTCTTGCAGAAGATGTTTTTAAAGACTACCCTTCTGTTTAGCAGGGAGGGAGGCAGTCTTTACTTTAAAGAGGTATGTCTTGTAATAAACAGGGTACTGTAACTGATTTATCATAAAAATAAAATGTCAATTTCTAATAACTATATATACATACCACAACAAATCAATTTAAAATAGTGTAGAAGACTGGGGTTTTATGGTGCTCTGGCATTGAGTGGAATGTGTACACTGCTGAACAGCAGGCAAACATTTATGTATGCATTTATGTATATTCAGTAGCAAGGTCATAGGAACTTTCTGGTTGCTCGATTCTGAAAAACAAGAATTTATTTTTTAAATTCTTTTTTTCTAATATTTATTTTTTAGTGGTAGTTGGACAAAATAACTTCATCTTATTTATTTACTTTTATGTGGTACTGAGGATCAAACCCAGGGCCTCACACGTGTTAGGCGAGCGCTCTACCGCTGAGCCACAACCCCAGCCCTGAAAAACAAATATTTTTAAGATGTCCAAATGCTTGGTTTTTATAAAATTTCCAACTTACACAAGGAATAGAGAAAGAACACTGAATTTTAGAAAAAAGACAATTCTGAAGCAATAATTGATAACTTTGAGCAGTTATTTAAATTCAGGGATCTTCACCTACAGAACAAGAACATTCTGCTTCCCTCAGTGAGCTGTGAGGGTTCAGGGATGGTAAATGACAAGGCCCAACAGAACACAGAACACAGCTGATGTCTAGTTCACGAATTCCCTTCTCTTTCTGCTTCCTTGAAAAGCATCCATACACGGTGTCCAAACCTAAGCACTCTATTTATTTGAGGTATTGGGGAGTGAGCCCAAGGGCACTCTATCACATTGCCAGACTTTTTTATTTTGGGACAGGGTCTTGCCAAGTTGCCCAGTCTGAGCTTCAACTTGTGATCTCCTAACTCAGCCTCCAAAGAAACTGGGATTATAGACATATACCACCATACCCAGCCATGCTGTGTTTTTTTCTATTTTTTTTTTTTTTTTTAGTTGTAGATGGACATGATATCTTTACTTGTGTGACGCTGAGGATGGAACACAGTGTCCACACGTGTGACAGGAAAGCGCTCTACCACTAAGCCACAACTCCATCCCTCAAACTCTGTTCTTAAAAATGCCAAAACCTAAAACAAACAAACCCAACCAACCAAAAATTCCCAGAATATCAGGTAATATTATTTAGTACCATTAAGAATTCAAGCTTTTGTGTAATCAAAAAAGGATAAAATCATATAAATATTAGTTAGCAACATTCATACAATTCAAAGCAAAATTCAAGCAATTGTTTAGATGTCTGCAAGTCAGTTCATGTTGTTCTTTCTTCCTAAATATCCTCTGAGAGGCTGGGTGCAGTGGTGCACACACATAATCCCACCTACTTGGGAGGCTGCAGTAAGAGGATGGCAAGTTAGAAGACAGCTTTGGCAATGCAGTGAGATCCTGTCTCAAAATAAAAAATAAAAAGGGCTGGAGATGTAGCTCAGGAATGGAATGCACCTGGATTCAACCCCTAGCAGCAAAAGGCAGAAAAATCCTTTAAGGGTGATGTTCTCATATACAGATCAGACTAACAGTGAAACCTAACAGTCCACTCACCCGAATAACAAGGATCTTGTTCTTCACTAAGCTGGAAATGGTAGTTCAAAGAAAATAGGATTTTATTAAGAGAAAATGTACAGACTTTAGGTCTATAGCTATGAATAATGCCATTCAAAACCATGAAAGTAACTTCAAGTGTACCTAGAAATGTCCCTAAGTTTATACCAACATCTAATTTTGGAAGTAAAGACTGAAAATTCAAAGATATAGCCTATCAAAATCTTGGCAAGAGACGATGTCTTGAGTTAAAAAATTAACTCATGCCAGGTGCAATAGTGTACATCTGTAGTTCCAGCTACTCCAGAGGCCAAAGCAGGGGAACCTAGTAGTTGAGGCCAGCCTGAGTTAATATGAGACCTTGTCTCAAAAAAAATTTTTTGTTCATTATTTAAATGCACTATCCAAGCAAATCTCTCTTCATACTCAGGGTTTGGATATCTGATATCCCTGTACTGCAAAATAATAACATATGAGCCTTGCATATTATAATATCATCTACTATACCTCCAAAATAAGTCATTCAAGATTTCAATATTATATTATTTACTTCTCAACTTAGCCAAAATACAATTCTAGGCATATGTGCTACAAATACACCTTTTTTTCCTTTGGGGGCAAGGGGTACTGAGATTAAAAACAGGGCACTTAACCACTGTGCTACTTCCCAGTCCTTTTTATTTATTATTTTGAGACAGAGTCTCACCAAGTTGCCCAGGCTGGCCTTGAACTTGTGATAATTGCCGGGATAACAAGAGTGCACCACCACACCTGGCATAAATGCACTTTTAAGGCAACAGCTCTTTATTTATTTTCTTAAGGTCTAAATATACCTTTTCTGCCTCTTGAAGTCACACTTTCTAAAGCTACTTAAGATTAAAAACTTCATTAACATCATGTCAATGCTTCTTGCCTTCTGATTTCTACCATCTCCCCGTAGGCTTCTCTGAGGCCCCATTTACCTTTCCTCTCCTCAGGCAAAGCTTTGAGGACCAGCCCTAACTGCGCCTAACTTGGCTAGACCATAACTAGAATAATAAAGCTACACAACCACAGCGAGCTCTATGCTTAGTGAGCACATTCCCACACGTGGAGATGGCAAGTTTAATAGACAAGAGGCTTAAGTTCATATTACGGATTCTGAAACCAAACTGTTCATAAAGTAAATTCTGAAACCATGATTGGTATAGCAAATGAATATATTAAAACAAAGAAAACTTCATCCAAGTATTTACATTTAAAAAAGACATTTAAAAATAGGCTACTTATTAAGTGTGCTTGAACAAACCATGTGTGGAATCGAATTCCATTCATTATGGAGTTAGTTTCTGCTAAATACTTACTGATGCTATGGTAGAGCCCTGGCATCTGAGGATTTAAGAGTTTTCAACTGTTACCAATCTATAATAAAAAATAAAACGTAACAAATAATACATTCTACATTTCTGGGGCACTAATTTGAACCTCAGAAATGGAAGGGCTGGTATATAAGGCAAATTACTTCGGAGTGAGAAGGGCCGGCAGCTGTAACTCTGTACGGTTTTGTATTGCCTACATATTCAGTAATACTCTCTAGAGGTCATTTAAAATTTTGTAATTACACCTTACTGCATTATGTTCTAGTAGTTTCACAAATTAGATAGTAACAAAAAATATTCTGGAAAATTTTCCTTGAGAGGAAGAACAGTTTCCTATATTACAAGTTACTTAGACCTCACAAAACTTTTCAAAATAAACTACTGAACATACATCCCAATTAAAAACTCAAACACTTCATATTAAAGGTTTAGAAAGTTTATAGTCCAGCAATGCCAATATAGATAATGCGACATCTCAGTCCCTACTTGCAAAACAATTATACAATAACTTCTAACGTCATTGGTTTTGGCTCAGATGTTTAAATACTTAAGTAACAGCTTAAAAAAGATTCGTTTGTATATTTTTTCTTTTATCATCATTTCTTTTTTTGGATGTGTGGGCATGAGAGTGTGTGTGTGTGTGTGTGTGTGTGTGTTGGGGGATTATACTGAAGATGATAAGAGTGAACAGAAGTCAGGAATTAAGGAGCCACTAAAATTTCATTTACTATTTGGTTATAAAAAATATATGGGAATATGTGGCTTAAAGACGGAAAGGGGGACCAGGGGGAGGGGGGGATTTGTTCATAGAAACTTTTACTTTATCCTTTATCCAGTCTGACAATAGTGCCAAAACTTAATTTACTACATAAAATCCTACTAAAAGGATTTTATTTTCTCAATCTTTTTGTCCCTAAAGGATTTTATGAAGTCTAACTTAATTTTGGTTCTGAGGTCCTAAGTGCTTAAACTTTTGGAATTTTCCGAATTAACCCCCCCCCCCCAAAAAAAAGGTACATCAATAATCAAAATCCCCCAAATATTATATAACAAACAACTGTGTGACTGCTTTAAAAATTTCCAGTTCATGTTTTTGGAGATTAAGATGAGTTGGAATATATCTGTTCCTACACTTTGATCTGCTTGATCTGCAGAACAAGGCAGTTTTTCTTAAGAAAGGGTACTTTTACTAAGAAGAGCAAAATTTCCTTTTTAAAAAACCAAATAAAACAAGGGCTGGGGCTGTAGCGCAGTGGTACAGCAGTTGCTTATTAGCAAGCACAAGGCCCTGGGTTTGAATCCCGGGACCACAAAAACAAAACCAAAAAACCCAAGTGTGTGTCTAAGATCATTCCAGACCTCTTCCTCAGTTTGCACAAATGTACTATTTCCTTTTTGTTAAAAAATGGGTAGGTTTAGGATTCATATATCAATATCAGAATTTTCATGTTTCACAATTTTGTTGCTCAAGAGATACTAAAATTCCTTGAATCCATATGGGAAGTTTCCTGAAGGTATGCATTATAATAAACAACATAAAAATACCAAAAACAATTCTACTGCTAAAAAAGCAGCATCTCCTGCTTGTGCCTTTAGAATACTAATTATAAGAGGGCAACCACAACCAAAATGCTAATTTGTGCCATCAGTTGGGATTTGAGCAATTCCATGGAAGAAACAAATTATTTCTTCCCTTAAAACAGTTCAAGGCAGGGTATCTACAATTATATTGGAGGCAAATATTCATTGTATTTGGGGATAAAAATCAAAAAGTACCTAAAAGGAAGAGAGATGGCATTATACTTAGTATTCTAAAGGCATGCTTCAGGCAGTTCAACAATGATTCTGGTAAGACCAACTGCTCACATACATACACACGCACACATAGATTTTAATGGTTTAAAAAAAAAAAAACCCAAAATTTGTTACTTTAGAAAAACGAATGCAGTGCATTTTCAGCAATATTATCGCCACAGACTCTGATTGCTCAGTCCACACATAAGTAGTAGTTGCCTTCTATGGTGATATGGCTTCTCTGCACTAATTCCCATCAGGCCGAAAAACATTAGGGCAGGGTAAGTACAGACTGAATTGTTGCACAAAGGAACATTTACTCATCAGATCCCACTGATCTCTTCTGTGCCCGCTTCCTAGGCAGCCTTCTTGGTGAAGCTTTGTCTGAAAAAAAAAAAAGAGAGAGAGAGAGAGAGAGAGAGAATATCTTAAGCTTGCCAGATTACTTATATTACATGCAAAAAGACAGGCAAAAGCACTTCCTTCAACTTCATCACCAGTTCAAAACACACATCCATGCAAGGATAACATCTATGGTACAATCTCTTACCTAGCTACAAGCTTTTAAAATAACCTGTAAGATAATCCTTCAAGGGTAATTCCAGTTAAAATGAAAATTTGCAACTTTTTTTTGAGGAAACAAATATCTGATATTGGTAACTATACCATTGCAGACACCATGCAGAATCCTGAATTCTACAATTTAACATGTTCATGCACAAATAAACTCTTAAAAATAGTATAAAAAGTATGGTATGTCTAGCTCAAAAAATACTTGCTGGCTCCTAATGAATTTTTAAAATTTACAGCTGGGTGCGGTGGAGCACACCTGTAATCCCAGTGGCTCGGGAGGCTGCAACAGGAGGATCACGAGTTCAAAGCCAGCTTCAGCAATGGTGAGGCACTAAGCAACACAGTGAGACCCTGTCTCTAAATAAAATACAAAATAGGGCTGGGGATCTCACTGAGTTCCTGGGTTCAATCCTCGGTACCAAAAAAATTAAATTTATAAATGCAGTCCTGCAGTTTACATAATTTTTGGCAACTATACAAATTTATCTGGAATGAGCCATCAGATAAAAGGAAATTAGTATTCAATGTAAAGCCATTCCATGCACATAAGCATACTTTTAAAAATCTCTTCCTTTATTTCTTATACTAGATTCTTAGTAGCATTTATTTAAGAGAAAATAAACATGTTTTGAGTACTTCTATTTTGAGTCAGTAAGAAAAATCATCTAGAATTTTCTTTTTTTAAATTTTTTTAATTTTTGTAGTTGTAGATGGACAGAATGCTTTATTTTATTTGTTTATTTTTATGTGGTGCTGAGGTTTGAACCCAGGGCCTCAACACATGCCAGGCAAGTGCTCTAGTATTTTTTAAAAATACTGGTGGTAGAAATTTCTTTTAAAAAAAGAAAGACTAGACATACCTTCTGTTAGTCTTTCATTTTCTTTTGATCCACTGGGGACTGAACCTACAGGTGCTCTATCACTGAGCTAAATCCCACTGTCTTTATTTGGAGACAGAGTCTAAGTTGCCTATGCTGGCCTCATATGTGATCCTCCTGCCTGAGCCTCCCAAGGAGTTGGAACTACTGGTGTGTATCAATGACTCGTGCCCTAGATGCTCAAGGCCCCGGGTTTTGATCCACAGCATTAAGCAAAAAACAAAAGTTAAATTACATAAGGCTACATTCTCAAAAGTTTCTGATTAAGGTTTCCCTGTGTAGATTTAAAATACAATTATTAAGCAAAAATCCCATACTTTATGAAAATTAGCTAACCTGTCACTTTATAGTTTAAAAAACAAAACAAAAAACTTTGGGGAAGAAGCACCCTAACCCAAAACAAAATTTTATCAGGAAAAACTTGCTTAGTATTGGGTTCGAATTACTTCCAAGTCTCTTACACTGTGATAAGAGGAGAGTTCCCTCACCTCTCAGGCTCTTGAACCCTGAGGTGTCAGACTGCTCCTCTGCAAAGCTAAGCCCTCAAAGCTTAGGGTGCCTCTGACTTCCAAACATATGCTCTGTTCCACGTTCTTCACAATTTTCTCTTGGTTTTCTTTGTTCTGTCCTCAAGTATATAAAGTTCGTATCCCAACTTTGAAAGAAATAGCTGTTTTTCCTAAGCTATCTGCAATTTGGCTCAAGTCCTTTACTCTAAAACCATCTTCTACCATAGTGGCTCTCAAAGTATGGTCCAGCACAGCACCATCAAGATCACCTGAGAACTTAGATGCTCAGATTCTTGGGTCTCACCCTATACCTGCTCAATTAGAAACTCTAGGGATGGGAGACCCAACAATCTGTGCTGAACAAGCCCTCCTGGTTATTCCAAGGAATGCTTGTGTTTGAGAGTCAGGGCTCTAAAGAATTAAGCAAAAGAGGAAGGAAAAAAAATTCAAGTACAAAATCAAATAAAAATATTGGTTAAAATTGAGTTGAGGGGCTGGGGTTGTAGTTCAGTGGTAGAGCGCTTGCCTCCCATGTGTGAGGCACTGGGTTTGATTCTCAGCACCACATAAAAATAAATAAAGATATTATGTCCATCTACAGCTAAAAAAGAAAAAAACCTGGAGTTGAAAATAAAAATATTGGGGCTGGGGATGTGGCTCAAGCGGTAGCACGCTTGCCTGGCATGCGTGTGGCCTGGGTTCGATCCTCAGCACCACATACAAATAAAGATGTTGTGTCCGCTGAAAACTAAAAAATAAATATTAAAAAAAATTTCTAAAAAAAAAAAGAAAAGAAAAATATTGGTTAAAACTGAGTTGAAAATATCTGTATGAATACATGATTTTTAAAAGATTTTCATCTGAAACAAGAAACCCAAAATTAATGACATCCCAGCATTTTAGTTTCTAGTATCATTCAGGGGTTTTTGAAGACACAACCAGCTCTATATCTTGAGCAGAAAATGCACAGAATAAATTTGGATTTCCATGGGGACCAGTAGGTAACCAGTCATTTGAAGGTCAAAAGGTTAAGACTGACAGCAATTTAAAAGGGATCCCAAGAGCTAAAAACTAAGAATTTCAGTTTAAGTACGTGCTGACTGAAACATACTAATTTCACGAAAATCCAAGTTTATATACAGTAATTTTTTTAAAAAAGAAAATGAGGAAAACTTCCTGTCACCATTTACCCTATCTTTACCAATGGAAATTGGTGACTACAGTTCCAGCTGATGAAAGTGCTACTTTATAAAAGTTTGGCAATTAGTTAAAATAGAAGAAATTACAATTGAAAATCATCAATTCTACCTCTTGTGACACATCTTATGAATTATAAACGGGTAGTAAGCAGTTTACAGAACTGCACATCTCTGTGATGTCAAAATACACCCCACAGGTAACTTCCAGCCTGCAGAAGAAAAGCCTCATCTCTTTGAGAAAGATCCTGAGGCTGGCACCCAGAGCTTACGCTCATTTTAACATCACTCATAGTGGGGCAATCAGATGTTGTACTGCTTCATGAGATGCAGGAAGAATTGCTTATGGGATAAAAATGAGGAAGTTAAAGCTAACCAAACTTAACAGACTTAGCTACCAGTTTCAACAAGTGTTAGCTAAAAGATGCTTGGAGAAAACTATGAGACAACTCTAGAAGGAAGGACTTTTCAGAGCCTCTTAACTCAGTTATGAACTGGCAGCACCGAATTGCTGGGGGCTTGTCAGGCACAGGAAAGCTGAGGCCCCACCCAAGAGTTACTGAGTGAGTCCAAGCCTGCCGCAAGACTTCCCAGGGATATGTACACACTCACTGTTCGGAGAAGCACTTTTGGCACAACAACAAAAAGCTGTAAAGGATTATTTGAATTAAACGAAGAAATCTTAACACAAACTGGCATTATATGAAATAAAATGGTTACTTCCTAAAAAGTGATGGTATTTTATCAGACACAGTGACATGCGCCTACAGCCCAGCTATTCAGGAAGTAGTGACAGGAAGATCACTTTAGTTCAAGAATTCAAGGCCACCCTGGGCAATATAATGAGACTCTCTCTCAAAAAAGTAAATAATTTTAGTGACCTTAAAGCCAACCATCTTTTGAGTACCAAGTCTCACTTGGGAAACACGTGAATGATACAAACCTATTTTGCCTACTTCCTATTATACAAGATTACATTTTGCTTCACAGGGCAATAATTCTTGGCTTTTAAGTTCATGAATTATGTTTAGGAGAAAGGTACAATGAAACCAACTCCCCAATCTATTTATAACATAAGGGGGGTGGCTTCATAACCATTTCTATGACTTTAACAGTTTTTCATTTTTGTTTTTCTTTTTTTCCCCCAGTGCTGGACATAGAACCCAGGGCCTTGTACATGCAAGGCAAGTGTTCTACCACTAAGCTGCCCTGGCTGGCCTTTAATTTGCAATCCTCTTGCCTCAGCCTTCCAAATAACTGGGATTACAGGCATGCACCACCATACCCAACAACTTAAGTTTTTAATTATAACTTTTATTGTTTTAAAAAGATAGTTAATTCTGCAGAAGACATTTAGAATTAACTGTTTATGGATAATGTGAATTTTAAATATAAAGACTTCATAAGTAAATCCAATAAACTATAAATAGGCTATGGTCTCTACTTCAAGCTACATACTGAGTGTCAGGATGATGAGCAATTAGTCCTTACAGAAATTATTTACTCCCATGAATTGACCTATTTTATCATTTCCCTATGTCTCTAAATCCAGACTCATTTATGCAACTTCTAAACACTTCCTGCATTGCTTTACCCAGGAATTTCCAAGGATCTTCCCACTCAACATGTCTTTTTTTGCCAGGATCAAACCTAGGGCCTTGTGTATTTGTGTATGGAAGCAAACACACTCTCACTAAGCCACACCTCCAAGCCCCTACCCAACACATCTAATCCAAACTCATTCCTGTCCATCCTATGTGCTCTGGCTGCTTCCTCAGACAATGGGACATTATTGGTTCCATCTCCCCACAACAGCCAAAAACAAACAAAAACAGCATCATCAAAAGTCCTGAATGCTGCACATCTTTCAACACTTCTGCCTCAGTTTAGGCCCTCATTATTTCTCCTGTACATTCCTGAAATCATCAACTGGCATCTCAGCTTTCAGTAGCTCCTGTAGCCAGCTGTCCTCCACAAAGCTATTATAAATTCTTTTTAAAACATAAAATTGTTATTCAAGTGTCTGATGGCTACTTTTTGCCTAGAAGATAGGGCAAAAGTATTTAGCATGGCACAAAAAACCTTGAAGAGTCCTTCTCCAACTGTTCAAGTCTCCAAACAAAGGTCGACTGTTCCTGGGAGTGATTTCCTCCTTTCCTAGAAGATCCTACCAAGCTCTCAAGATTTTGTATTCACTTTTAATAAAGTACCTGTCATATGGTAATTATATTTGGAATAGAGAGCGCTAGCTCACAGAGTCAACTCAATTTTTAAAACTAAGGACTTGAACAAGCAAAGGAAAACAAAAAATCAAACAAACAAAAAAGGAACTAAAAACTAAAGTCAGTAAATGCATGTATTAAAAAGTTGAACCTCATTCTTTAATGATAAATTAAAACACTCATAACATTTAATACTTAAGAATGATTAGTGAAAGTGGAGGACACACTCCTGAGAATATAAATTAGTACTAACTTTTGGAATGGAAATAAGACACTTTCCACAAAAATTAAAATGCACATAACCCGAGACCTATTGATTCTACATTCAAGAAGTCATCCTATGAATTTACACATAAGGGTATTTATTAGCATTTTTTTTTAAAGAGTGAAAAACCACCTGTACTGAACACTCATATAGAAACATATGTACAGAAAATACCTCTAATACAAATGTGAACTTAACACCAATCATTTGTTGAAAATGGGATTTGTAAAGCCAGGAGCTGACTTTTTCACTACTGTACAATCTAAAACTGTGCAATGAGGCTATACTGCTTTATAATAAATGCTTCTTAAAAGTCCTTCACTTGGAGGGAAAAAAATCCTACTTTAAGTAGTTATTTTAACAAACTGCCTATGTAATAATATCTGTTAGGTTAAACTATCAGGTAGTATTTTAGGTTTAGTGAGTGGTTTTTCCAATAAAATTTAGTACTAGAAAACTGTTCCATTACTCATCAAATTTGCTATAAAGCGTTCATACGCTATACAAGAGCCCCCAAAACTCTAGCAAACGGCATTAGAAAAATTAATTGCCTCACCTCTTCTACTCTGCACTGAAGCAACAGGAAAGAAAAGAGACAGGAAAAAGATTAGGAATGTAAAGAATTCACACATTTGTAAATAAACTGCAGGTTTGGAGGCATTTCTAAATGAAAGTATAAAAAATACTAAAAACAATAAATGTTCAAAGTCTTCATTAGTCATTGTTCTAGATTTTACACAGTGGAAAAGACAAATGCTAAGTAGTATTAGCCACACATTTTTTTGCTAAATCTAAAATATTTAATTTTCATTTAAGAGAAATACTTCCCACCAAGTTTGTAAGACTACTTACTGATTTGATTCAAAGTTTCTTGAGGAATCCAACTCATGTCAACATCATTCTGACTTGATGTACCCATTTCTACTTTCTGTATGGGTCTCTTGCGCTAAGAGAAATGTATTTCAAAAGAGTTCCATTATGTTGCTTATTCTAATTTTTAAAACACAATCAAAAAATTTCATCTGATCTTAGTAAATAAATTATGTTCTTTTCCAGTGTTAAAACATACTCCTAACAAATATTTTATTCACTAGAAGAGTAAAATCATGTCTAGCATTAATAAAAAGAATTCACTGGGTGCAGTGGTACACACCTATAATCCCCACCACTCAGGAGGCTCAAGGTCAGCCTCAACAAATTATAGAGACCTTGTCTCAAAATAAAGAGTTAAAAAGGTCTGGGAGATGTAGCTCAGTGTCAAAGTGCCTCTGGGTTCAACTCTCAGTACTACAAATAATAAAGTACTTTTATCCTTGCTATAAAACTCTGTATTATACCACTGGTGGACAAAACAAGAATGTCTACTTATACAATGATTTTCTTTCCACTTAGGAATCAAAATCAAAGAATAAATTTCTGGCCAATGAAATTCAGAATAATTACTAAAAAGTTGCAAAAAGGCTATCTGACATTGTAAGCTAGATACAACTAAACAAGTAAAACCTCATTATCTATAAGCAATATTATTTATTTAGATCATAAGTTAATTCTGAATACAAAGAATAACTGAAAATAGCTTTGTTTAAATGAAAAAGCAAACTGTAGTCAGTTATACCAAATATGTAAATGCACAGCAAAAATCCAACTGTTATGAAAACAAGACAAAGATAGTTATAAACACTCTGAAAATGGAGAGCAACTGTTTAGGGCCTAAAGAATTATATTACAGTATTTGACACAAATGGTGTAATGCATTCCCACTAGAAGAACGGGATGGGTTTTCCTTTTTGTGGTGTGGGAAGAAGAGAATTGAGAGAGAGAGTGAATGAGGAAAAAGGGGAGAGGCGTAGGCAGTGAAGACATGATGGAAGAGTTAGCCACCAAAACCAGAGAGAACCATGATGGGGGTGGGTACTTCAGTGTTACGCTTAATTAAGTAGATGTTTGATCAATAGGACAAATACAGTCAAATTCATTCTTTATCATGTGAAAGAACTCATTCACTAAGAATAAGCTCCATAATTAAGAATAATGAAGTGAAAATAAAAAGCTGGGTTGGTTTCAGATAAAACATGAAAGGGGCTGGGATTGTAGCTCAGTGGCAGAGCGCTTGCCTTGCACATGTGAGGCACTATGTTTGATCCTCAGCAACGAATAAATAAAAAGTATTGTATCCATCTACAACTAAAAAAAAAAAAAAAAAAACAACAAAAAATAGAATTTTAGGAAAAAAAAAAAAAAACTTTCTGAATTTCAGGAATAAAAATTCTAGGGTAATTCACAGTTAAAATAATTTCCAGGTGCAGTAGCACATATCTGATCCCAGTTTATCAGGAAGCTGAGGCAGGAGGATATCAAGTTCAAGGCTAGACTCAGCAACTAGCAAGACCCTTTCTCTAAAAAATAAAAAAGGGCTGGGGATATAGATAAGTAGTAAAGTAGCCCTGGGTTTAATCCCCAGTACTGCAAAAAAAAAAAAGATAGTACAGGTATACAGGTCACACTAGAGGATGTAGACAAAGGACACTAATTGTGTGCATGTCTCAAAGTCTCAACAAATTCAAGTCGTATATCCAAAGTTTCACCTTTGGGTTTCATTTTAAAAAGGTACAATGAAGCTGTAACTCTAGAAACCTACAGTGAGAATAAGAAGTCATGAAGAATTAGATCAAGCTTAACTTAGTACTGTAACAACTTTTAAAGAATGGTTTTGAGAGTTGTTCAAGCTGGGCGCAGTGGTGCATGCCTGTAATCCCAGCGGTTGGGGAGGTAGTGACAAAAGGATCGCGAGTTCAAATTCAGCCTCAGGAAAAGTGAGGCACTAAGCAACTCAGTGAGACCCTGTCTGTAAATAAAACACAAAATAGGGCTGGGGATGTGGCGCAGTGGTTGAGTGCCCCTGAGTTCAATCCCCGGTACCAAAAAAAAAAAAAAAGGAATTGTTCAAACATTAATTACCTTTCTAGATTCTAGGAGTTGATGAAGGCCAATAACAACCAGAAGTCCAAGACCAGCGAGGAACATATACATAAAGATTCTGGCATAAAAGAAAAAACATAAATTGGCTGTAATTCATAAGAAATTCCACAGCTAATTACAACTATAATTCTAACACATTTCATAATTTTAGTTTATTCTGTGCAACTGGGTTTAAAAATTACCTTAGGTCAACATATATAAGAAATAAGAAATGATTCATCATTCAAAAAGAACATATTTTTCAAGATAAAAATATAATTTACAAAAAGTCAGGAATTTTAGAGGCACATATCTTAGCTTTGGCTAATGATCAGCTTCAGAAAGCATGGAGTAGAAAAGAATTTAGGACAGAAAGCCAACTAATACCTTTTAAAGGATTTTTCGTCAGTTTGAATCATCTTTCCTAGCTTGGTATTATACATACAAAAATCACATACAGGGCTGGGGATGTGGCTCAAGCGGTAACGGGCTCGCCTGGCATGCGTGCGGCCCGGGTTGGATCCTCAGCACCACATACAAACAAAGATGTTGTGTCCGCCGAAGACTAAGAAATAAATATTAAAATTCTCTCTCTCTCTCTCTTTAAAAAAAGAATCACATACAGTATGGATCTATGTAGTAAAGGTTTCACCAAATCTGTATAGTCCATTCCATTTTGACCATTAAAAACAATACTTTGAAATCAGAACATGCCCTCTAGTCCTGCCTTGAGAGATCAAGTTCTAAAACTTTCACTTACGTTTCTCCATCTAACCCATCTTCTCTTTCAATAACTGTAACCGTTTGATTGAAGACAGCATCTTGGAATACATTGCCCTGTAAAGAATAAACTTTTTAAAAAAAAAAAAAATTCACAAAAATTTGAAATGCACTGAGAGAAGGAACTCTCGTAAGATTTGTTAAAACTGGTACTCTGTAACAGATTTCTTATAGCTCTCTCATCATCTAGAAGGAAAGACTTTACAAAGTCATATACTTGCACTATTCAATGCCAGGGACTCAACATTCTGATTTCAATTTCTTCCATAAAATAAAAATGTCTCAAGCTCTGTTATCCTCCACTTTCTTTGAGGAGTGGGGAGACGGCACAAGGACCAAGGAAAGAGTAAAAATGAGATAAAAACTTGCAGAAAGAAACAAAACTCAGAGTATTCTGATACCTGCAGCTCAAGTTTGTCTGCAATCCTCCAACATACGGATGGAAGCATGAAAATGTAGAACAGTAGCTGCAGTGGCAGATCACACAGACCCGAACAAAAGTCAAAATTATGTTCTAAACTGACAATGGGATGAAAACCAATTCCTTCAAAATAAATGGGTTGCTGATTTTCAGAATCAAAATATTTTCTTGTTATGGTCTTGAAAAATTAATGGGTCATAGACAGCTGTTCTCAATATTCAATGCTCTACACACAGGTAGTATATTTTCAAAACCACCACTTATTGCTAAATACTAATTATGTAATTTTATTTCAAGGTCTTTCAATGTGCACTCAAAACGAAACTGACACTACACTTTACCAACTGGATTTAGTTCGATTTAAAAGTAGGATAAAATTGATAATTTTCAAACTACATAAAGTTCAGGAAACTTAGTATCATATTTTGAAAACATAAAGAACGAAAAAACAGGGACTGGGGTAATGGATCAGTGGTAGAGTGCTTGCCTAGCATGTGTGAGGCACTAGATTTGATCTCAGCACTGCACATAAATAAATAAAGGTACATTGACAACTAAAAAATATTTTTAAAAAAATGAAAAACTTTCCTACTTTCTACTAAATAACTCTAAAAATGAAAAATTTAGGGGCTGGGATTGTGGCTCAGTGGTGGAGCGCTACCCTAGCATGGGTGGGACCCGGGTTCAATCCTCAGCACCACATAAAAATAAAGGCATTGTGCTGTGTTCATCTACACCTAAAAAATAAATATTTTTAAAAAATGAAAAATTTAATTGTAATACAAGAAATTTAACTCAGGTAAACATGTTAACACTAGGATACTGAAAATCATCAACAACTTCTAAGAAGAAAACTTTGAAAAGGAAATTGTTCAGATGTGTTCTCTGAAGAACAGTTTTCACCAAGAAGTCAACTGCCAAAAGTAAAATTTTAGTGCTTCTTGTTCAGTCACTGAATATACATAAAAATACATATCATAAAACATCAGCTTATATTCAGGACATTTGGTTCTCATAAATTAAAGCCAACCCATAAACCCTGCTGCTAAAACTATCTGTCTATAAGCTAGATGTAGAGGTGCACACCTGTGATCTGAGCAACTGGGGAGGCCGAGGCAGGAGGATCAAAAGTTTGAGGGCAGACTCAGAAATTTGGTGACATCCTATTTCAAAAATAAAAGACTAGGGATATAGCTCAGTGGTAAAGTACCCCTGGATTCAATCCCTAGTAGTAGGAAGAAAGAGAGAAGAAAAAATTGAAATAAAAAGGGCTGGGAGCAGGGTGCAGTGGCGTACATCAGTAATCCTAGCAGCTTGAGAAGCTGAGACAGGAGAATTGTGAGTTCAAAGCCAGCTTCAGGAACTGCGAGGAACTAAGCAATTCAGTGAGACCCTGTCTCTAAATAAACTACAAAATAGGGCTGGGGATGCGGCTCAGTGGTCAAATGCCCCTGAGTTCAATCCCTGGTACCAAAAAAAGGGGGCTGGGGATGTAGCTCAGTGGTAAAGTACCCTGGGATTCAAGCCCCTGTATCACCCCCTCCCCCCCCAAAAAGAGAGAGCTGGTTTTATTTTATCTGAATATATAAAATGATGAAAAACCAGCTACAAAAAAAGTAGAAGTAGTAAAATGGGCCAAAATCAGGCAATGACAGGAGCAAATTACATATATTAACCTCTAAATAAGTAGTAGACTATTGAGTGGCATATTGCTTTTTCCTTCTAAGATCCAGATCAAGTCACTTCCACACTCATGTGACTGCACCTAAACACAAGACACCTCTAGTGCGGGTCACTCAGCAGTTTCATCACTGTTTTCAACCACCTCTCCTGCAAATTATAGACTCCAAGACACTTGCGAATTTACATTCACGACCTTGGTGCCTACCATGGTTTCAACCACAAAATAGGCACCTGTACAGAAAAATATTTAACAATGTTAATTATCCCCAACAATCTCTAACCTTAAAAAAAAAAAAAAAAAAAAGTAAAAAGGTTTAGAAGGACTTACATTCAAGTCTTTGTAGTTCAGATTGATGACCAGACCAAAGGGTCGTCCACCCATGGGCTCTGCAGGAATGAAGGAATACTCAAAAGTGGCCTGTCTCTGGGGTGGCACTACAGTGTTCAGAGGCAGAGCTGTGAAATTCTGGATATAAAACTGGTAGTCCTGAGGATAACGAAATGAGGCATCTAGGGATTCCACAATAAAATCTTCTGTACCCTTGTTTGTAAAGCCTACCAAGAACTTCACTATGTTATTTGCTGGAAAATCTGAGAAACAAAAAAAGACAAAAAAATTAGAACATATTCAGAGTACAAATGCAACACACATTACTAATGGACGCTGGCACACTTTCCTGCTGTATTCAGACTTGGTTTCAGAATCCTTTTCCAGAGAACAGTCCAGTCACATGCTAACTAGTGAAAGACTGGAGCCAGAGTGTACGCTGACACTCTTTTGTCTATGCTTGAGCACTCCAACTTGGGAGCTAAACTAAGCATCTTGACTTCAGACTAGATAATATCCAAATTCTGTGGTCTAAGAAAAAGTTGGGTCCTTCTGGTAGCAAGATTATTGTGTAGGGAGTTATACAACTGAGTACCTATACAAATAAAGAGAAAAATGACAAAGAAAAAAATCTAAGGGGTTCATTGGAACACTTATGTTTACTAGAACAAAAAAAAATTGCATTTTTCAATTCCTATCCAATTACACAAGTAGTCAAAAATGCAAATTTGAAGGTAAATCAGCTACAAAAATAAATTTTTAAAAATCACTTATACTTTTTGTAGCCTGTAGGTGGAAGTCATAACACATGAGTATAAAATAGAACACATTTTCATATTAAATGTTGAATCATGTCACTGTCAATCAAGCTAAGCTTCATCCAGTATGACATAAGTTGTACAGTCAGACAGATCTAGATTTGAATATGGTCTCCATGATCTATTTATAAACTGGGTAACCCTGGGGTTTGTTAGGATTAAATAATATTTGTGAAATATTGAGAACAGTGCCTACTACGCTATCTTCAATAAACATCAAGCATTACATATTTATAGGTTGAACATCCCAAATTTAAAAACTGGAAATGCTCTAAAATCTGAAACTTGAGTGCCAATATGATGTTACAAGTAGAAAATTCCACAACTGATACTCAAGTGATGGATTATAGTTAAAATATCAGTGCACTAAAAGAACTGTATAACATCACCTTTAGGTGTATATGGAACAAATGGATTTCATGTTTTGACCTTGGTTCCATTCCTAAGATACCTCATTATATATAGACAAAAATATTCAAAAATCCAAAAAAACTTCTGGTTCTAAATATTACAGGTAAGGGATACTCAATCTGTATTTTCTTTTAAAGAAACCTAGGCTCTAATCAAGACCTACTTGGAAAGATTTTAAAATATAGCACAGTTATCTAGGTTCTATCCAAGGACTAATCAAAAGGTACAATATTTCACTAATATTTACATACTCAAAATATAGCAAAATTACTTTGCTGAGGTAGTTTGAAAGAATTTTAAAAACAATATATTTGGGCTGGGGTTGTGGCTCAGCAGTATAGTGCTTTCCTAGCACGTGTGAGGCCCTGAGTTAGTTCGTCAGCACCATATAAAAATAAATAAATAAAATTGGAGCTGGGGATGTGGCTCAAGTAGTAGCACGCTCGCCTGGCATGCGTGTGGCCCGGGTTCGATCCTCAGCACCACATACAAACAAAGATGTTGTGTCCGCCGAAAACTAAAAAATAAATATTAAAATTCTCTCTCTTTAAAATAAATAAATAAATAAACAAACAAATAAAGATATTGTGCATAACTACAACTGAAAATAAAATATTTTTTTAAAAACCAATATCTTTAAAAGGGAAATCTAACTTCTAGTTAAACTAGATAGGATTTATTATTCCCCTTAGTTAAAATACCTGCAATACCACTGTACAGGTATTGGTACCCATATATATGAGATTTTTTCCAAAATACTTGTTTTGCACAATACTCCTTATATAAAAGGAGCTTAAAAAAAGACCTTAAGTATTACACCAATGCTCTCCCCGCCTTAAAAAAAAAAAAAAACAGGCTTGCATTTAAAAACTCACATCTGAATTGAAACTAGCAATTCTATATTACCTTCTCCTTTCACAAACAGGATAGTTGTATCTGCACTTGGTGATGCTTCAGGTTCACCAGATACATCTTCTTCCTCTTTATCTTCTGCCTAAGAAAGAAAACATTAAAAAGAAATTACTAGGGGTGGGGGAGATCACTTACATACAGACACTTTATCAGATTTGGGACAAAATACTGCTTCTTCATGGCTTTGTCAGTATTAGTGGGATGAACATCACTGTATCTCTTTAGCTAACTTAAACAGTGCATCTAAATGTTCATACCAATTCCCAAGGAATCTGACAGATCTGACTCAGGGTCTAGTGTGAATCCTGAAATTCTTTAATTCTAATAAAAGCATCAAGGAAATGCCAAGACTACTAGTATTCTGACCACACTTTGAACTGCAAGATTCTGGATCAAGGGTTGGTAAGCTAACTGCCTGTAAAAAACTAAATAGTAAATAAAGCTTTGCAAACCATAAAATCCCTCTTGAAAATGCTCAAGGTTATAGCATGAAAGCAGTCACAGAAAATAAATGAATAAGCAAGGTTATGTCTGTTCTGAAGCCAAATTTTGCCCACCCCTGTGGATCTTGTTAATAGTCTACAACAATTTCCATTCTAATTAAAAGGAAAATTTCCCCCTAAGAATCAGTCACATGGGGCTGGGGCTGGGGCTGAGCAGTAGAGCGCTCGCCTAGCATGTGTGAGGCGCTGAGTTCAATCCTCAGCACCACATAAAAACAAGCAAATAAATAAAGGTATAGTGTCCAACTATAACTAAAAAATATTTTAAAAAAAAGAATCAGCCACATAATTTGAAAGAAACGTTTTAAAGAAGAGCGAGCCAGGTGTGGTGGCACAAGCCTATAATTCTAGTGATTTGGGAGGCTGAGAAAGAAAGATTCCAAGTTCAAGGCTAGCCTCAGCAACTCAAGTGAGATTCTGTCTCAAAATAAAAAAATAAAACATAAAAACGTCTAGGGATGTAGCTCCGTGGTAAAGCACCTCTGGGTTAACTCTCCAATGCAAGAAAAAGAGAAGAGAAAGAGTAAGCGATCAAGGATCTTATTGGGGTGATAGAAATATCCTAAAACTGGATGTGTCTTAAAACTTGGTAAATTTACTAAAAATCAGATTGTATACTTAAAAATGGGATTTTTATGCTAAAACTGTATCTCACTGAAAATGTGAATAAATTTAATATTTAAAATGTTAAACCTGAGAGAAGCACCATGTCTTCAGATGAACAATCATAAACTGAGATGCTTATGGGTTATAACATCACCTTTAGGTGTATATGGAACAAATGGGTATATGGGTGTCATTGTTCATTGGCTTTAAACATTCTGTAGATGAAAAGGCACTCAAACCTTTCAATGAATGAGGAACTGCATTAAATTTTAAATATTCTTAATGATACCATTTATTTAAAAATTTTTACTTTTGGGAAAAGAGACCCCTCAAGAAAGTCCCAGCTACACAGGAAGCTGAGACAGGAGAATCTTCTGAGTCCAAGAATTTAACATCAGCCCAGGCAAAATAGCATCTCAGGGGGGGAAAAAAAAAAGACCCCCAAGTAGGAAAAACCATAAAATGTAGGAATAAAGTGGAAAAAAATGTACCTGAGAAACAACAAAGAACAATCACATCTAAGATATGATTAATGGGCTGCAGACTAAAATGAAATGGAAGAAGTTAACAAGACAACAGCTCAAATCACCAGAGTCTATCAAACCAGGAATATGAAGTAGGATGGATGTTAAGTGCTGACTTCCTTTGTGGACATTAAAATTTGAGGTACTTAATGGAGCACCCAGACACTGCTATCCTGTGAAGAGCTGGAGATATCAGTATGGTGCTCAGAAATGAGGCTAGAAAATCACTAATAAAGGGTGGTAGTAGTTAAAAAAAGGTTTCACCAACATTACAGGAGTAGGCAGAGAAAGAGAAGGTAACAGAAAGATCAAAAAGCAGAAACTGGTAAAGGAACACTGAGAGGATTGTAACCTAAGCCAACATTAAAGGATTCAAGGAAAGTATACTCAGAAAATGCTAAAGAGTTCAAATATCATACCTAATACAGGCCAGGATTTTGGCCATCAGGTTGCTGGTGACCTTAGTAAGAATAGTTTCACTAGATATATGGGACCAGACCATGGTAGAGAACAAGCGTGAAAAGGAAGAAACTGTACAGGGTAGTCTTTCTTCAAGAAAGAACCAGACGTGGTGGCACATGCTTCTCTAATTCCAGCTGTTTGGGAGAGTAAGGAAGACATTGAGTGGCTATCATGGGCAGCTTAGTGAGATCCTGTCTCAAAGTTACCAAAAAAAAAAAAAAAAAAATTACTGGGGTTATAGTTCAGCGCCCCTGGCTTAAATCCCCAGTACCAAAAAAATTTTAAATACAAATAAAAATAAATCACAAGATAAGATTAGCTTACGTGAAGGATATACCCCATGAAAATGAAATCAAAGAAGAAATCTGTATTTAAGGTTAATTACTTTGATATTAAAATAGCAGGAAAATAGGAAATTGGTGGTTCAACCTTAGAAGAAAATGACATTTAGAGTCATGAAAGGTTTTAGGTGCATAGCATGAGAAAACCTATGTTAAGCTGGGCGCAATGGGAACAGGAAAGACAGCAGAATGAATCAGATATAACTTTCCTATGCTTATATATGAATACACAACCAGTGTAACTCCACATCATGTTCAACAATAAGAATGGGATCAAACCTGTAATAGATTGCACTCCATATATATATATATGTCAAAATACAACATACTGTCATGTATATCTAAAAAAAAAAGCTGGGTTCAGTGGTATACACCTGTAATCCCAGTAGCTTGGGAGGTTGAGCCAGGAGGATTATGAATTTAAGGGCAGCCTCAGCAACTTAGCGAGATCCTATGTCTAAATAAAATATAAAAAAGGTCTGAGGATGTAGCTCAGTGGCAGAGCACTCCTGGGTTCAATCCCCAGTACCAAAAAGAAAAACAAAACAACAAATATCTATGTAAAAAATCTGGGCTGGGATTGTGGCTCAGTTGTAGAATGCTTGCCTAGTATGCGTAAGGCACTGGGTTCAATCCTCAGCACCATACAAAAATAAAATAAAGTTATTGTGCCTACCTAGAACTAAAAAACATATATATTAACAAAAAAATCTCAGGCTAGGGATATAGTTCAGTTGGTAGAGTGCTTGCCTTGCATGCAGAAGGCCCTGGGTTCAACCCCCCAGCACCATATAAACACACAAAAAAATCTATCCTATACAATAGGACTACAGTAGTCCCAAAGAGGAAATTAAATTATCCAGAAGCATGCTGTAATGATCATGATTCCAGCCTGCCATTCTGTTTTACTATAATTATACAGTAAAAAAATTCATGGCTAGACAACTAAGACATCTTCTCTAACCCCCTCACTCTTTACAGGACATATTTTACATATTATTTGTCATCTGTTCCTTACCTCATCCCACCAACACACATATCTCGTCTGTCCAAAGCAGCATCCAGAACAGCACAGACTCACTACATGAGACTCAATGACTGCTTATTGAATGAAAGCGAGAAAACTGAGACCCAGAAAGAGAAGCCTGAAGGCTAAACACCATGGACCCCGAATTTATCCACTCCTGGTCCACTGCTAGTCCCACTACATTTAGCTTCCTAAATTCATGCCCGTTAGTATGATCTTGAATCATTCTTTAAGTGTGTCATGTCTCCTTCCAGCTCAATACATATGCTCTATCCTCAAAGACAAGCTCCTATTCACCCAACTTTAATCCATTTTGATCATAATAACAAACCACTGACAGTAAAAATTTTAATACCAAACTTTGTATTAAATAGTATAACACTAACCAAATCTGTGGGTTCATCTTCTTCTACCTCAGCTTCATCGTCTTCATCTTCAATTATTGAATCTTCCACTGTTTCTTCATCCTCTGTAAGATCCTGTGCCACCGCTAATGAGCCTATTGATAAAATACAAAGTAAGCAATTATCCTTCACCTGGAATACTAACTTTTTAAAATATTAGGTATAAGCAACAAAATGTTCACATTGGAGTAACTTAATCCCCCAGCCACTTGAATGATGACAAATTACATACTACATCTAAAAATACTTGTACTATTTTACTAGTATTCTTAACTGCTTATTAATTTTAATAGAAAATACTGTTTAATTTTAAAAAGCACCCAACAGCTAGAAAATGAACTGCAGAAATTGAAGATCCCCTGAATTCCAGATGAAGAACTTCAAGCAATCCGGTTAAGCAAATAAAAAAATAATAATAAGTTTGGTGCAAAGGAAGGAAACTCCCCTAAATTTAATCCCTGTCATTAACCATATAAAATAATACAACAAAAAACATCCAGGTTTAAAAGAAAATAACATTCTCAATATCTAGGCAAGAAACATCAGAGCTGACAACAGCTGAAACTCTTAGAATCTACTAACTAGTAACTAAAAATGACTAATACCTGTATCTTCCCCTATGATAAAAACTAGCTTGTGCCAGGCACAGTGGCGCAAGTGGCTCAGGAGGCTAAGGCAGGAGGAGTGGGAGTTCCTCAAGCCAGCCTCAGCAAAAGCGAGGCTCTAAGCAACTCAGTGAGACCTGTCTCCAAAAAAAATACAATATAGGGCTGGGGACGAGGCTCAGAGGTCAAGTGCCCCTGAGTTCAATGCCCAGTACCAAAAAAAAAAAAAAAAAAACTAGCTAGCACAAAACACATTGTTTAGTAAAAACATATTGTAACTTCAGGGTTGAGAGCAAAGAAAGAGTCCAATTATTTTTGCATATGGCTTTGTTACTTTTAAATATTATAAGCAAAAGTTATGTACACTCATAATGCCAAGAAATTATAAATCAATTTTGTAGGCAAAAGTATTCTAAGCAAGTCACAATGTATCTATTTCTGGCAAGACCCTCAAAAGCATTTCAAAGTTCCTGAAACTCTTCCAGCAGAAAGAATGATGATGTGGCAGTTCAGTGGAGGGGGGAAAAATGTGGAAAGGGAAACATGTGCAATATCCAGGGAAAAATGGTATTTATTAAGTACTGTACACTTCAAGTTTTTTTCACCTCCTTGAGTTCCTACTGCTAAAATGGTACCTTCCTAATTTTACAAGTCATTTTCAGTTTAAAAAAAAAAAAAAAAAAAAAAAAAAAACTCTCTGGACATAGTAGTAGTTTAAAGTTATACAAGCCACTAAACAGAAACCAGTCCCTTCACTCTTCTTTGCCAAACAGCTTGTGGGCACTGGTCACCATCATTCATTAGGCCACAGAGTTTAAACTTATGGAAGGAATGGGTTCTAGTAACCACTTAGACTAATTCTTTCACTTTACAAGTTGGACACCGAAGTTCATAATACCAGGGCAAGAAGCCAAGATTCCACATTTTTAGGTTCTGCCATCTAAGTTTTTTCACCCAAGTTTTTTAACTGTTGAAATGAATAAACCTATATAAATTGGGGTGGGGGAGAGTAGGGCTCAAAGTCCACTCTCGCCTCCCAGCATAATAGGGTATTTCCAACCAACAAAAAGTAGAAAGGAAAAATGGAAGGAAGAAAGGACGAGAGAGAGAGAGAAAGAAAGAAAGACGGACAGAAGGAAAGCCATTGAATGAGAGATCCCGTAGGGATTCTGCAGTCTGCCTAGGACCAGGGGCTGACAACTGGGTGAGGATGCGGAGTTTTTCGGAAATCAAGCCTCCCGATAACACACCGGGATCAGATGCGGATAAGCAAAGACAGAGGACCAGAAAAACGATGTTCTAACAGCATGGGTGTGCAGAAAACAGGAGTTTCAGCAAATGAATTAAGGAGGACTCCTAGCGTGGAAGCTAAAGACACGTCAGCCCAAGAGCTAGAGGATGAGGGTGGAGCTGCGCCGGAGGCGGCCGAAAGAAATAAAACCGGGCTGCAGCGCTCTGCGGGCGCAGCACCCGCCGCCCCAAGCCTGCGGCTCCGGCCGCACACCACCCAACTCCGGCCACCTCTGCAGGCGTGGGTCCCGGCCGCGGGAGCAAGGTCGCTCCGGCACGGCCCTCCGCGCGGAAAGGACCAAGGGTCAGGCAGGGTGTGGACTCTGCACGCGCGCCAGCCGCCTACCACGAGCCGGGGGTTGGGGAGCAAGGGGAGGGAGGCCGTCGAGGTGGACGCGGTCCCCAGGAGCCGAAGCTCTGCCGCCTCCAACTTCAAACTTGTCGCCGGCGTCTCCTGAACTGCCAACCCCGCCGCCCACTCCCCTCGCCTCACCTCCCGGGCCGCCTCGGAGCAAAACGGTGGCGGGGAATACCAGCAAGAGGAGCAGAAGCAGGCGGGGGAGGAGTCTCATGGCGCGGCAGGTCCAGTGTCCAGTCCCAGTCCGCGAGTGCTCTCGGCGGCTCCGGCGGTAATGGCGTTACTCTTCATCCGGGCTCCGTCAGGGGCGGGGCGGGGCACGTAACGCGCACGGGCCTTCGCCACACCCCTCCCCTGACTGCCGAACGCCGCAACGTGGCTGCCACAGCCGAGAGGCGGAGAGTACCAGCAGCCCGCCGAGTCACGTGGTCTGTTGCCTGGGCCTCGGGTTCCCGCGAGAGTCAGTTGCCCGCGGCAGTCATGGCCGGCGCCTTGCGGTTTTCCCGGGCCTGGATCTCAATTAGCGTAGTCAGTGCTTAGTTATTTGAATGAGGATCCGCTTGGTGCAAGGCGCGATAAGGATTTTGCATAATTCTAAGTAACGGTGATGTAAGGAACATGAACTGCCTGTGTGACTTTTAAAAGAAGAGACAACTGGGTGAGGGTAACACTGTTCAAAGAGAAATATACAGTGGAAAATCTGCCCCCTATCCGCCCACACCCTCTTCTATAGAAAGTAGTGACAGTTATGAAGTTTTAAAAGATGACTCTACAATTTTCTTTAGTTTCTCTATCCACTATGTCGGATTTGGGTTGCTGTGATAATCTGTTCTTTTTTTTTTTTGATGTCATTTCTTGCATTGGATCAAAATACAAGGTATTTTGGACTGGACCAATGTGAGATGTCATATAGATGATGAAGAGAGTAAGTTAACTCTTGGTTTTTATTATATTGTCAGTTACTTTTCATCCATGAATTCATTAATCTTCTGAACATTCCCATGAGCTGCATATTATTATTTACTGAGGAGAAAATAGAGAAATTAGTAACGTACTGAGCCTTCAAAAAGCTAGCAAATGGGCTGGGCATGGTGGCACACACCTGTATCCCAGCGATTTGGGAGGCTGAGGCAGGAGAATCACAAATTCCAGGACAGTGTCAGCAATTTGGTGAATTCCTGAGCATCTTGGCAAGACTCTGTCTCAAAATCAAACGTTCAAAGGGCTGGGGATGGATCTCAGTGGTATTCCTGGGTTCACTCTCCAGTACACACACACACACACACACACACACACACAGAGCTAGCAAGTGGCAGATACAAGCTTTTATAGGACAGCCTGGTTCCAGACTCCATAACCCTAGGGCATCTGCTGTTGTACTCCTGTATTGTCTCAGCTTAAGATCTCACAGTTCTGGGGTCCTTGTAAAAGCAGCTTGTGACTGCTGCTACTATTTCCATCTGCTAAAGTCAACCTGATAGTGCTGGGATGAATCAACTCAGCCGCTCTGCTACTTGTGGTGGTGCTATTACAAGGGTATCCCCCATTTTGCCTCTTCGCACAGCTAACCAAGCTGCCACTCAGTGCCAAGGCCCCCAAGACTGCTGACCCAGTTTGTTGTGGTGCTGTATCTTGCTGAATTCTCCACTGACAGGAAGAATCTCCCTCCCCGCTTTCTGTTTTATAAGTTTATGTTCAGACCTGCCTGTGCTCGGAAGGTTTGACAGTTTTGTTCTTGTTAGTTTTGTTTATTTAAGGTTTTTTTTATTTTAAAAATATTTTTATGTGGTGCTGGGGATCAAACCCAGCACCTCACAGGTGCTAGGCAAGCACTTTACCACTGAGCCACACGCCCAGCCCTGTTGTAGTTTTTGTACTGGGGATTGAACCCAAGATGCTCTATCATCACTGAGCTACATCCCTAGCCTTTTTTTTTTTTTTTTTTTTTTTTTTTTTGAGACAGGGTCTCCCTAAGTTGCCCAGGCTGGCCTCGAACTTACTATCCTCCTGCCTCAGCCTCCCAAGTAGCAGGCAAGCACACACCACCTGGCCCAGCTGTTTTTTTAAATTTTTTTTTTTAGTTTTAGATGGACACAATACCTACTTTTCTCTTTCTTTCTTTCTTTCTTGATTTTTTATTTATTTTTATGTGGTGCTGAGGATCGAACCCAGTGCCTCATATATGCAAGGCAAGCACTCTGCCACTGAGCCACAATCCTAGCCCCTGTTTTTTCATATTTGATAAATACATTCTTCTATTTAACTTGCTGTTCTCTCTTAGCACCAGAAAGAAACTAATGGGGACTATACTAAAAGCTAAAGTTGAAAACATAATGCTGTACTCAAAGGCACCTCTGTACTCCATTACTGCATCAACAGTGTCTCCTGACTCTTTTTTCTCAAGACATATTTAGACATACCCTGAACCAGCAAGGTAAATTCAGTTTAGGCCTAACCCATGACTTCATTCCAGTGATTTTATCAATGATTCCTTGTGGATTTTATTTGGGACTTGACTTTTTATACTATTATTTTATTGTTGTGGTACTGAGAATTGGACCCAGAGTTGCTCTACCACTGAGCTATATCCCCACCCCTTTTTGAGTCAGGGTCTTGCTAAGTTGCAGAGGCTGGCGTCAAACTTGTGAACCTCCTACCTTAGCCTCCCGAGTCACAGGTATGAACCACCATGCCTAACTTGGGACTTGAATTTTAGATTGCCAGCTACAAAAGATGCAGCAACCAATAAAGTGTTTTCTACTCTGGATGTTACTGATGTGATGAACTTAGGGAAAACAAAATATACAAACGAAAACAAAAGGACCTATGTGACTATTCAGTCAGTATAAAAAGCAGTAACATATATTTTAGGGAAGTAAAATAGTCACCCAGATCTGAGTGCTCACAAATTCTGCATAATTATGATCTACACTGTCCCCATATATGCACTTTGCCTCAGTGCCCACCTAGACCTCTTCCCTGCTGTTGGAGAATTCCAAGAGGAACTGGAATTAAGAATTACACCTACTAATTTATTTATGTCCTCCTTGTGTTCTCTGTCTCCCCTGTGCACCTATATCTGCAAAAGTATCTGTTTTCTAAGAATGTTTCACATCTCAGGCAAATCCATCGTTGATTCTCCACTTTTATAATTTTATTCTTTCCAAATTTGTAAGAGCAGAGGATTATTAGCAAATGTGTTTATTGAGCATAGTTTTGTTCTTTGTATTCTCCCCAGGTAACTGCATGAACTTCAAATCTTTACTCAGTTGTCATTGTCTTACTGAGGCTACCCTGACCTCCTGCTTTAAAATTATAACTCTCCCACTTCCCACACTCTCAATCCCCCACTGTGCCCCCTTTTCATAGCTCGTTATCCTCCCACATAATTTCTAGTTCACAGTGTCTCTTATCTGTCTTCTGCCTGCAAACACTTGGCAACCAAGAGGTTTTATGTCTCTTACTTATTGTTATAAAAGAGTGCCTGACACCCAATGGGAACTCAGAAAATTCTTGTTTAGTCAGTGAAGGTGTGGCATTAATATAATCACATTTTTCCTCCATAAATTTACAACCCAGTTTTTATTGTAAACCTAATAATATGGTTTGGATCTGAAGTTCCCTACAGCCTATATGCTACAGGTTTTTGGTTGCCAGCCTGTGGAGATACTGGGAGGTCTTGGAAACTTTAGGAGGTGGGGCCTGAGGACTTTAGGAACTTAGGTCATTGAGGGTATGGCCTTCGAGGGGATATTGGGATCCCCAGTCTTTTCCTATCTTTCTCTGCTTCCTGACTGCTGTTAGGTGAGCAGCTTATTCCACTACACACTCCCTGCTATGATATTCTCCTTACCACAATGAAACTAGAATTTTGAGATAAACTGAACTCTCTGCTTCTGCTGGTGGGTGGGGTCTGTGTAAGGCTGCCGGCCTCTGTAGCCAAGAAACGTTACAGCTCTTACTGGTGGGCTATGCCTGCAATGTTGCAGCAGACCACAGCAGCTCACTAGTCAATTTCTTCTTCTTTCTGGGTTCTTGTCTCATGAATTTGAAGAATGAAATCCATAGACCAGGATGAGTGGATAAAAGAGTAAGACTATTGAAGAACAGAAACAGGAGCAGAACTCTTGCAGTGCAGAAGGGTACCTGATAGCAGGTTTTCTCCCTCCAAGTGTGCTAGTCTAGGGGTTTATATAGCACGTAATTAACTGCTATTGGTCCAAACTTATGCTGATTAGGGTTTGGAAGCTTACTAATACTATTAGTCAATTTTTGAGTCCCAATTTTCATTCAAGTCTGCCTCACCTCCATTTTCTCATGGCAGATCAGGAAGTAGGAGGTTGAGTCATCAGATGGAGCTGCAGTGCTGCCTGGAGCAGGTTTCTGCACAGGCATCCTGTATAGTGCCAGGCCTGGCTGCCAAAGGATGACAGGTTGGTGCTCCTCAGCTTGCCTCAGTGCTGGCTGGCTATGCAGATCCACATGGCCACAGGCTGTGCTTGCCTCTCTTACTCCAAGCCGCCTGGGCACCACTCTGTTGCTTTGCTGTTGCCTTGTTCTGCTGCTGCTCCTTGGCAGGGACCACCAGTAGGCTGGCTGCACAGCTTGGCAGCCAGGAAGCCATGTCAACAAGGCCCAGAGTGATGGAGCCAAGCCACCATGGCCTGAAACCTCTGAAACTGTGAGCCAAAATTAACCTTTCTTCCTTTTAAGTTGTTTATCTCAGGTATTTTGTTAGAGTGACAGAAAGTTAAACTAACACACCTAGTGAGAAATGAAAAAATAGCAAACAAAAAAATGTTATGTTTACTATGTTCAAGCAAAGAGTTAAATGTCCTTTCACCTAGCAAGGGCTTAAAAAAGAATTTTCGTTCTTTTATTTATTTATTTTTTGTACTATATCATTGAGGGAAAAATTTTTCTGGAATCCTTATGTAAAGGGGAAAAGGAAACAGAAAATAAGGATAACTTTTAAGGGAGTGTTAGTTAAAAAAAAAGGAGGGTGCTGGTTCTCCAGGCTGACTCCCGTTTAGAAGGAGGTCCTTCATTCTTTCCCCAGCTCATACTTCACTGAAAAGAATAGGGGAAGTCACAACCATCAGATCACTCACCACAAAACCCACCACCTACCTGCCTCTGTACCCGCAGGCTCTGCCTTTCTTTCTATTACAATAAAATATTGTTTATTGGCCTATCAAAGTCCAGCAACCATTTGTGGTTTGGATCCCATTTCCTGCTCAAAGACAAGTGATTCTTAAAATAGCCTTCTCTTCTTTACCTCACAATAAATTCTAGTTTTCTACTTCATCACT